ATTATCATCATCAGCCTTACTAATTATAATTACTTCTACTGTGACCGTGAGCGTGTTAATAATTAAGAATACCCAAATTTCATGTTCCTTCTTGGTACGCGAAATCCCTGTTAAACAAAAGGGTTAATCGTTCGTTATCCCATTGTACGTTGAACAGGTGAAAATAGAAACGGCGTGGTTAAATTGCACTTAATTAGAATGTAGCCGAACCCCGGCGTTGTTATTTTGGTCGTCAGGAGTGGCGCGCGCTTGGTTCACCGAGGTGGCGAGCATTAAGGGGATTTCATAATTAGCCGCGGTCGTACGGGCTCATCCAATAAAGGCGAAGCCCTCGAGGTACGTCCAGTAAACCTGCAAAACTCTGCTGGTGTACAAGAAGAAGAAGGCCGGTCGGGCACGCGATGGCGTCCAAGAACCCTCTCCTGTCCGCTCGACGAAACGCACTTTTTCCCTTCCACGGGAAGCGGACCGCGAAGCGCACCGCCGCCGTTCTGCTTTATCGAAGGAAAGCGGCTTTAAATAGCCCTCTCTCTCTGTCGTCATCCCCCTCGTGCTTCTAGCGCGACCCCGATCCACTCTGTCGCTTGTTTTGCTACCTCGGAACACTTACTAATCTCCATGGAATGCATCGCCAAGTGCAACCAGAAGCTATGAGATGTTCTAGCAAAATCATAGAATTCATTCATTTTTGATCGATGGAGAATCAATAATATAGGCGTGGAATATTAATTTTTATAATTATCCATGGAATCCATCGCCAAGTTCAACCAGAAACTTTCTATAAAATATTCTAGCAAAATCATAGAATTCATTCATTTTTGATCGATGGAGAATCAATAATATAGGCGTGGAATATTAATTTTTATAATTATCCATGGAATCCATCGACAAATTCAACCAGAAACTTTCTATAAAATATTCTAGCAAAATCATAGAATTCATTCATTTTTGATCGATGGAGAATCAATAATATAGGCGTGGAATATTAATTTTTATAATTATCAAGCGCATAGAGTAATTAATTTTAGATAAATCTAGGGAACGTGTCTCGAGCAAAATCGCGACGACCTTACATTTTCTTTTCTTTTCTTTTCTTTTCCGTGGAAGCAGCAACTGTAAAAAAAAAGGAAGGTCGAGAGAGAAGGTAATTCTCGTACGGACGGCAAAACGTGAAGGGCTCTCGAGACAAAGTCGATCGTGGCAGAGCTTGACAATAGAAGAGACGAGGCACCGAGGGACAGAAAAGTTCGGTCCCCGGTAGATCCGGCGGCCCCGGAAACGATCGATCGATCTTCTATTCTTCCGTCTCGCGTTCGACCGAAATCTCGACGCGGCCACCGGAAATTCCGAAAGTTTTGCCGCAATGTCTTCGACGGGATGAGGAACCGATACAATCTAGACTGCAATTTTCGGGCTGGATTTTCTATGCTCGAACGAGCCTTTAATTTTCAGGGTAATTTTATGGGCTACGTGTACATATTATTCATTCACAGTTTAGAGTCCAATAGACGTTAGATTCTTCTGCTTACTGATATTATAAAGTTTAAAGTAATATTAAAAAACGTAATCGCGCATCGTTGAGGACTTAGAGCGCATAAAATCTTTTAATCTAGCCTCGTAACCATTTAATTTACCCCATAACCGACCGTACAGAAATACAACTTTCCGGAGCCATTAGTTTTTTTTAAGGGAAAAACTTCCCTCCTCTCCGTAATTGGATAATATTTTCTGGTGATAAATCTTGTAACAAGTATTCAAACGATGATAAGCACTTAATTTGAGGAATTATTATGCTATCCGGTGTGTCGTAAAATCACTTTAAGTCCTTCTTCGAGATACTTCTCTCGTCGGTATTCCTTTCAGGGTTGCCCCAAGATTATTCGTCCATTAAACTTTTATGAATTTAAACGAAGGAAATTTAATGATGTACGAGGTTTTTATGAAACTTCTTGCGACACCTTTTAACCTCTGAAAGAGGGATTCTTTGATTGATTCGATTTTAATTGCCATTACATTTTTCTTAGCAAATAGAAATCTTGACTTTACTTACAAAATTATTTTGCAATTTAAATTTTATAATTTACTGTTTGCAAATATAACTCATTGCAATTTTACCGCTCGATCGTCGTCCAGTCGAATCGAGACTACTACGTTTCGGTTAATCCGCGAATGATAATTATCTACCGTGGAATTTTGGGAAGCCCGTTCAGCCGGGCGTAATTAAAGAAACGCGGCTATAACGTCGACATTGGTGAAAATTCGCGGATATTGTTCGGGTGCTGTGAACTCTATTCCATCGAGGGGGGTAAATCGGGGTCGCCAAGACAATGGCACAGGTCGTACACACAGTGATAAGGGACAGACAAACTCTGGCTTAACAAACTGGAGCGACTGGCTGTCTGTTTCACGGTCGAGAGTTGGAAAATAATGGAAGAGCAAAAATTGCAGGGTGAACGTGAAATTGCACGGTTAAAAAACGGGGATGAGAGTTGTTTGAACGGTGCTTCGACGGTGTAACCATATATCGGTGGTGAAAATCTTTTATTTGTGTCCGAATTAAATACTCCAGATAAAAAAACAAATAATAGTTGATAATCTGAGGAGATATTAACATTAGAATTATCAAACCAGTCATTTTAACTGCTTCCAAGTTTCTTATTTTAATTCTAGTGTTAAATTTCGGGTGCAACCATAATAGTGAGCATATTTTTTCTTATATTTTTAATCAGCAACGTCAAGCACTCCAGAATATCAAATTAATGTATATTTGTTATTGCAATCAACAATGTATTGTTAGCAAACATAATACAAACAGGAGTTGGGAATATTGATTTTAACGTGGACCGAAAATTTAATTTAATTTTAATTTAAAACATATTATTATAATTGATATAACTAAGGTTGATAGATAATAGAATTTATATCTTTTGTTAATGAATATTCCACGAAACAGGGTGGAATTTTTTGCGAAATATCAAGAGTGCTGTTCGAAGGATGTTCAAATTGAATTTTCAACCCCTATTAAGAGGTCGCGTCGAGACGTGCTCGCGTAAAAATTAATCTCTCGCTCAATTACGATGTAATTTCCTTCTAATCTGCCGGAACCTGGTGCAACGTAACCGAGATAGAGGTAGAGGGAGGTTCGTTTAACCGAGCTTTCGCCTCCTTCTGTCGTCGCATATTTCTTGCGGCATAATTTTTCGGAATTGGCTGTACGTCTGCCAACGGCGTGAATTTAATATCGCCCTTTTACACCCGGCCTGTTTCAAGAACCCGAGAATGTATATTCGGGAATTCAACGGCTGGAAGAAAGTTGTCCGGCTGATGTTTCTAGCAAATATTTCCCTGTTCTTGTTGAATCTGTTCCGGGATTACGTGAAATACCTTCGCCAGGTATGGTGTTGCGTTTCGAATTAACACTGGGATAATCAGCTTCGAATATACATCCAATTTTGCGCTGAAAAATGAATTTGATAAAAAATCAATTGGTGGAAATTAAATTGGCACGAAGAATTGCTTTTTTATTTCAGTGGAAATTAATCTGAATTACTTCAAAAAAGAAAAAAAATTGTAGTTTGATACCTCATCAAATGCTCATTTTCTAAATTTTCAAATATTCCATCCTACAAAAATTTTTCATTAAAAAATTTAAATGTGTAATTTTAATCAAAGCAACGTTGCATAAGTTTCGTAGGTCTGGGTCATCATTAACTCTGCAATATTCGAGGTGTAACTTATTTACACCTTGCAAAGTTGTTTAATTTATTTAGCAAAGTTAAACTTTGCAAGGGTAAACGTTTCTAGAAATCTCTCTTAATTTTTACTCGCAGATTTTTCTGTTTAAAAACCTCCGGTTCTAATTAAAATTTAATTTTTCAACCCACAGGCAACGCTCGTATAAAATACTCGTTTTTAAAGGGTACCGTAACATTTATCATGAAAATGTTCATCCGTTCGTATAACATAATATGTATCAGCTGCCTTTTGTTCAAATCATGATATTCAATGCGAAAGCATTCGTTGGATTAAACGATTACGCTGGTGCTCGATTCGTTTATTAAAATCAATATCATCCCTTCAGTTACCTGTATCTGCTACAGATTAAATTTAATGTTCGATAATTAATTAAAGTCCAAAATTTTTATTGCCAATCGTTTGCGCCGTTTCGTTAAATGAATGCGTAGGATATTGAAATGGAACAGCTTCGAATCGAATGTAATCAAATGATTAGAAGTGAATGTAATAATTTCGAAATCGCGTTATAAATTTAAGTAATTTCCATAGGCGAAGTTTGAAATTCGCCACGGTAAAGGCGACGATGTATGGCGGTTCCGAATTAACCGGGTAAATGAAAATTCATGGATACAGCCGGGACATTTTCGAAAGAAACGGGTCAACTAGAACTCTCATGGGTTGTTACGAGTTACACGGGCCAATCTGATTTAGTTTCGACTTTAACGAACGGCGAAACGATTCTATACGCGTTTTCACGCCCATAAATCTCAATGAAAACGACGCCGCCTTTCGTTGAAAACCCAGGCGATTTGTAAACGAAGCCTTAACTAAGCTTCTGATAAATCATTTCTATCGAACAAAACATTCTATCCTTCGATTCTTCGAGCGGCATTTTTAAAATAAATTAATAACGACAATGAGAGTTTCTTGCGACTGAAACGAGGTAAATAATTAATGAACACGATTGACTTGCGGACGAATCACGTTCCACTTGCTTCCGTGATATCGTTGAAAACTAGAAGAGAGAGGAATCCGGAGGAGGGGGACATTGGCAGCTAGTAAAGTTGCTAACGATTCGCTCGATAACGAGGTTTGCTAAGCGCTTTAATTAACGCCGTTTGCGTCGTGTCACCGGCTCGATTGCAGGAAAGGGTGATAATTCATAATTAGCGGACAATCGATGCGATCGCAAGACTGAACCGGATACTGCAATTTCAAAAATTTCACGAATTCTTCGGCTAACAATTATCAAATTTCTGTTCCAGATTTGTGCTCACGAGATTTCGCAATACCATTTCCATGCTCGTCGTTCACGGAAGCTTTTGTAATCTGAGGTACAGCAGGTAAACGCTTTGCGGATCAGCCACGTCTAACTTCAATCGGTGAGTAGAAAAACCAGCTATCAAGTTCTCTGTTTTATCTCCTAAATCGCGGTGTTACGAGTTTAACTGTTCATTATTCGAACACACTTTGAAAAGTCCCCTGATTCGATATGCAAATCCGGCTGGAAATCACCGCGAAACGTATTCTTTCGCTCGAACGGTTTATAGGGTCAATCGGAATAGTCGACTGTAGGAATTCGTAAAGTTCGAAAGCCGGTAAGTCGATATCGGAAACGGAACTGAAAGTGACGTTGATATCGGTGCGCGACGTACGGTTCCACTACGACAATTAAGAACGATCGATTCGGCGAAAAGTCGCGATTCGAAATTCCCTTCACCAGAATTGGCCTGTTAGTATTTATTACACCTCTGTCGATGATATTAGTTGAATAATTGCAAAAATAAAATCGCTATTTCAACCTGACGCGTTTAAAATCGATGACGCATCATATGCGTCCTGGAAACTCGTGACACACCGGGTGCGTCTTGCATAGAAATTTAATATTATCAATATTATTTTATATATTTCAAATTTCGCCTTTTCTAAATATGTTATATTAATTTTTAATATATAATATAGCGTTTCCTTGAAAGTTGAATGATCGCAAGCAATTATAATCCGTAAATTGTAATATTTGCTAACGAAGTCCCAGTTTCCTACGGTGGAATCCGTGTTGCATAGCGCGTACAAACAAATCTCGGTTAGGTTTCGCGTTTCGTAGATCAACGAATTTCCACCGGCGTCGAATTCCCGGCCACCAAAGGTCCTTTCCGTCGAAGAACCAGCATTTCAGGAATTACGGCTTATTTGCACGGTTCTGATTCGAATATTCTGTTCAAACGTTACCCAGGCCTCGATTTCGATCGTTCTCTGATCGGATCGCCATCACTCGTTTCGCATATTTTAAGGGGGAATCTCAATTTTCTTAATATTTGAACAGACCTGGGGTCTGTGTGTTGAAAGATTTTACAGATTTTATGTTAATTAATGAATAATCAATGTTAAATTTTTACCATATTTTAATTTGAAAATCAATTAACACGTATAGAGTGTATTACATTTTAAAGTAGAAAGTTTAAATAGAAGTAGAAATGAAATAATTTATAAGCCTAGAGGGATTAATATATAAAGAGGAGTTTTAGGGGCAACGTTTACGTTTTAATTGAAATCGAGTCCATCGACGGGCCTCTATTTTAACGAGTTCAGCTTCGAACGAGCGACCAAATCGTCGACGGTATTATTCATTGATAGCTTGATTAGAAGCTCTAATTGCACGTCAACCAGCTACGGCTAAATTGTTTTCGTTCTCGCGCTTAAGCGAGCGAAAGCGTTTCGTCGAAACTAATGAGAAGGTAAATCGATTCGCGAGCGTGCAAATGAATTTCTGCCCTCCTGTTTCTGATATAAACCAAGGGTGGATAGTTTTCGCGTTTCAAACGTTAACTTTCAATCCGTTCGCGTATATTTTGACGAACTTCCTCTTGTAACAATGTTACCAACGCACGGATTCATTTTCTTTTCTACAAATCTTGTTTTAACCCTTTATTAATCCGGACGGATTAATTTATTAAATATCGGTAGCCATCGAAATGTTTAAAAAATAAAACGAAGGAACGTGAGATTCGAAATTCTAAGAAGATATCTGAGAAAATGTGAGCATGCCATTTCACGGATCGAAGGGAAACAAAGCTGAGGTTTCTCGGGGAGAATCCTTCAGATGGGAGAGTTTCGGCTATTCAAAGCCCGATTATCCGTCGAAGAAGCGATCGAGGAGGTTGCTTCCTCTCCTCGAGGGTCGAGCAGGAGGGAGAGACACTCCGTAAACTAAGAGGGCGGTTAGCGACGGGATTTATGCGCCTACATTAATATGCAGCGTCGAGAATTTCAATGCTCAGCTTCCTAGAACAAGAGAGAGAAGCTGAACCGAGGATCGTGAAAGACAGGAAGAACAGAGAGAGGGAGAAACTCTGTCGAAAGCCCGTCAAACTCATCGGTGATCAATACTTTTGTCTACACAGACCTTACCCGGCTAATAGGATCAAATTGCACCAGTGCCTTTTGCATTCTATTATTAATGTTAATGTATTACGGTTTTTAAGAGCAGTTGGCGTGCCTTCGAGGCATTCGAGTGGCGAAATAAGGGCTTAGAAGCTTTTCTTAAATATTTTATTATTTGGAAATTCTAATGTTCTAATTTCCCACCTCCCAATTTTCTAATTTCCTGTTTCCGAATTCTCTACTTTCCGGTTTCCCATTTCTTAAATTTCCAATTGACGATTTCCCCTTTTTTCTAGTTCCCAATATTCTAATCTTCCATTTCTCAATTTTCTAATTTTCCATTTCCGAATTCTCTACCTTTTGGTTTTCTAATTTTCCAACCTCAAATTTCTCATTTTCTAATTGCACCATTTTTCAATTTCCAATTTCCCGTTTTCTAATTTTCCCATTAACCGTTTTCTAATTATTCAATTTTCTTTTTTAATTTCCCACTTCCCAATTTTCTAATGCCTTAATATTTCAATTCTCAAAAGTCGAAACTTGACATTCGCTCTACAAGCACCAAGAAAAAGCTCCTTGTCATCTTTAAATGGTAAAAGGTAGAAAATTGGTGGTCCTTGAATTTCGCTGAAAGGACAGCCCGTAAACGAGTAGATTCGAGCGGTTAGCTCGCAGTCAAAGACGAAGGGTGGCTCTGCTAAGAGGACGATGGGGTAGCTGGGTGACATAATAGCTTACTCAGGATCCACTTGTGGTCAGTAATCGGATTGACAGAATCGACGAACATGCTATGATCGACGTACGTTGAACCACGATACCCTGAATGCTTTTATTTTCATAAAAACTCTATTTTTTTTTTCACGTGACAAACCTGTGCACTGATTAATCTTATGACTCTTTGCTTTGCTTCGATTTTACTCGTGATCCATCAGGAGAATTTATGGTTCTTTCGATTTTATAGGCAACCATAAAGCGATCCGTATATTTAAACCGTTCGCAAACGTAGATACCAACTAAACTTATTTCCTTCGGGAAATTGATCGAGCCCAAGTAAACATAAATCACTCGCTTCTCAGACTTTCATGTATTCTTCTTTTTTTTTTGCATTTTTACATTAACGAAGATTTAGCAATCTGGTATTTATTTGTAAAATAATAGTTCAATAACGAAATTAGCTTTGACAAAAGTTAAGAAGAGGGTCACGGTCGAGTTAAACAATTCTCAGTGGTATAAGCGGCACAATAAATTGTCGAGAATGATGGTCGGCTTTATTGGATCAGTAGCGCCTGCACTCTGACAGATAACAACCAGGTGTATGCTTCATCCTCCGTGCACACGGGCACACTGACCCGTTAATTGTTCATTAATATCGTGGATACGCACCAGTGAATATTTGTCATTGGATTAGCAAGTGTCTTTCGTTGGGTCAACCCTTTTCCCAATATATCATTCTTTGAAAATCATAAACATAGCTCGATTTAATCAACGAAAATCCAAGAATAAAATGTCGGTACAACCTTCGAACCCGATCAAAGGTACTCTGAAATTCAAAAAACCTATCCGAGGACTAATAACGCGGCTGGTATCGCATCGAAAGGGTCGCCGAAAATAAAAAAAAAAAAAGTGAGAGAGAGAAAAGTCCGTTTTATCTCTGGCCGTCCATCGAGCCGCGTTCCACGTATCGCGTGCATTTAATTTCTTTTGTCCTGGCAACCTCTCCCATCGAGGCTCGATAGTGGTGGTAATTAAAGTTCCGATTCAAGACCATTCATATTTGTCATCGTTCCGAGAGGGAGAGAGATTAGGGGGATGGGGAGAGAAAAAAAAAAAAAGAGTCGCGTCTCGATCGAGGGCCAGACTTTTCCATTGGATTTCAATTTTCACATACCACGTTCACGTCGGGCACATTCGCGAATTAGTCAGCCGGCAGACGACGAGGAGAGAAGAGAAGAGAGACGTTCGTGTCGTGGCTGGCCGAAACGATATTATCGGTCTATTGAAAATCGAAAATCGAAAATCGAGAAGTATCGAGCGATCGAGTTTGCGGTGAGACGTCCTGTGTCCGCGGCCTATCCTATTACAGAACGACGGGAAAAGAGGGATACCGACTCTCTGCTTCCCTATATTGATCGGCAATCCATGAGCCGGACAGCAGACGGGATGGCTCGTTTAATCGTCGACTCGAACCTCCGAACGTTATTATTTCAATCCTCCTAGGTAGCGAAGAAGAAAAAGAACAAGGATCATGGGTAGACTTCAGATTTTCACATTACCCATTCGGTCGATAACCAAATGGTTGGTAATCAATTTTCTATGAAGAACCTGTTGGATTTATCTGAGTATAGAGGCAAAAATGGATCGATTATTATTCTTGGAATACCTTCCAACATTCTCTATCATTTTCTTAGTTTTTCAATTTTGTTTATGGGACCAGATAAGAGCGTCTAGCACCCCATTTTTTCTCTAACAAGGCACCATCCTGAAATGATAATTTCCGATTTTGAAAAAATATTTCACACGTATTTTTTGTACCTGCCGGCATTCGTGTTAAGAGGATGAAAATAGCCACCAAAGTGGATGATAGATAGGAAAGATACAGGATGAGTTGGATCCAGGATGTTTGGTGTGAGGTTGAGTCTATGGTGTTTTTAATAGCGTGAGTAAGTGGATAATCCAAAAGTATTTCTATTGTTAAATAAACCCGTCTCCAATGAAACCTCGACTTCTTCAGTCATTATGCTTTAAACCGATACACCATAAGTGCCATTTCGTGATACTTTTCTGTCATGAAATTAGGACTTTCCATCTACCAAAATCGGTCACACGATACGCACGAAACTGATACAGAGAACAATGACCAGGAAGCTTTTCATTGTGTTTATCCAATGGGTTCTGCTGATCGAAAAGTAGGAGGAGGGGATTTTCCTTGAACTAGTAAAAGCGAACGACTAATTAGTCGCGCTATCGATGGCTTAAAGCGTGTTGAATAGGGAGGGCAGGT